AGATCCAAATCTTTTAAACTAATATGTAAATATTTAAAAAGTAACTAAGTCACATATAATACTTTTAATAAAAGAGCACCACCTGCGCCCCTAGTTGTTGAGACAACAGGGATATTCACAAAAAAAAAAAAAAATGCACCTATGGTGCTTAGCACCAACTATGTTACACATATTACATAATATTTAATTGCATAATATTTACAAATATTTGTTATACACTACAATTGATGTTTATTAAACATTTGAACTTTTTTTTTTACTTATTTTGGCTTTGACTTTTACTCATTTTAGTTTCGATTTTTATACATTTTAATTTCGATTTTTACTTACTTTAACTTTTATTTTATTTAGTTTAGCTTCGAATTTACTTATTTTAACTTCAATTTTTACTTACTTTGGTTTCGATTTTTACTCATTTTAGCTTTTTTCTGTATTGCTTTTTTATATTTTTTTATTATATTTTTCTTGGTTTTTTACTTGGTTCGCATTTTCACTCTGTATTATTCTTTTATTGCTTCTTTATTTGTATCACCTTTCATTTAGCTCTAGGGTATTTTTCTCTTCACGCTTCTTCTGAATTACATTCTTACTTAAAATCACGTTTTGCCCTTTTTCTATCAATTGCCTATAGGTCACTTTGTCCTTTCATATCACTTTCACCCTCTAGGTTGCTAGTTATATTTACTTTGGGTAATATTTTTTTATTTAGATTGTATTTATTTCTATTCACGTTATCTAACTTTTTGGATTCTTTTTCTTTCAGGTTACATTTTCTTTTTGTATCAAATCTTTACTGCACAAATTATCTTCTTTGGTGAGTTGCTTTACACGTATTATTTACACTCTTTAGTTTTATTTACTTTGAGTGCATTTTTTTTTCTTTTAGATTGCATTTTTTTTCTTTTCCATCTTATCTAACTTTTTAGTTTGCTTTTTCTTTTAGGTCATGTTTTCTTTTCATGTCAAACTATTATCATGAAAATTATCTCTTTTGGTTACTACTTTTGTATTGCCTTACATGTATGCTTTTGCTCTTTGCATCTCTAGGTAAATTTACTTTTAGTAGCATTTTTTTTCCTTTTAGACTGCATTTTTTCTGTGCTATCTTTTTAATTTGCTTTTCTTTCTAATTATATTTTTCTTTCACATTGCACCTTTACTATGCATATGATCTCTTTAGATCATTGCCCTTTGTATTGCCTTACATCAGTGTTTTTTTGGATCATTTTATTATTGAGCATGGATAGCTTGTCCTTTTTTGATATTGATGATGATCATAATGTTTTTATAAACAATAATAAGACTTCAATAACCTCTATGGATGTATTTAACAATTTTTTTAACACTCAAAACAATAACAAAGAGAGAATAACTAAAGAGAATATGTCAGATTTAGAAGGCAAAGAGAATGTATCGAATTTAGAAAGTGAAGAGAATGTGTCTGATTTAGAAAGTAAAGATAAAGAAGATACAGAACCTGCATATTCGTTAGTTGAAATCAGGCCTTCGAATTTTGAGAAGCTGTTGATAAGTAAATATATATCAATTTAAGCTTTTTGTTAGAAAATTGCAGTTGATTGTTTTTTTTTAATACTTGATTTAGGTGGTTTGAACTTTATAGTCAGGAAAATAGTTTCACATTTTGTGTAACTCATAGCAACCATGATAAAGTTGATAAAAAACCAAAGCGTCGTATATATTTGTGTATGAAAAGACAGAAATATGTTTAATACAAAGAAGCACATATGCTTGATGAGAAAAATAAAGGTTATAAGGCAAAAGATTATTCTTATCACATAAATCTATATCGATAGAAAAATGATAATATAATTCGAATTTCAAGTATTATTGGAACACATGACTATGAAATGGTTAAAAATATTATGATAACTGAACCAAGATACCGGCAGTTAACAAAAGAAATGAAAAACAATGTTCAATTACTTTCGTCTTGTGGTATGCAAGCTGAAGTGATTATTGAGGTTTTACAACAAAAATACTCAGAGAAATACATTCATGCTTATAATATATACAATTTGATATAATCGATTCAGTGTAAGAAGTGTATAGGAGGTAGTACGGATAGTATGTATTTGAAGCTAATTAGAAAACAATGCAATAAGCCTGGTTATTATATTGATGCAAAATTTGAAGGGGCAGACAATCACTTGGTTGGTCTGTTTTGGATGCAACCAAGCCAGATACAACTATAGGGCAGATTTCACAATATTGTTCTAATAGACATGACCTTTAAAACTAACCATTATTTGATGAAGCTTTGTATTGTGATAGTTATTGATAATTATAATTATTCACGTTTAGTAGCAACTGCGGTTATTTCTGATGAGATGAAAGAGACTTTTTTATGGATTCTGTAAAATTTACTTAAAGCATCGAATAGTTTGGCACCAAAGCTATTATTTACTGATGCTGATTGTGCAATGATGGCTATTATAAGTAAAATGTTATCAAATATAAAGCATCATTTTTGCCTTTATCACATTAGAAAAAATCTTGAAAAACATTTTCTAGATAAATATAAGAGAGAGAAATGGAATGAATTTTTTAGTATGTTCTGTTATGTACGAAATAGCCACATTGAAGCAAAATTTGAAAAACACTAGGCAGACATGATACAGCAATATCCTAATTCTGCATCATATTTGGTAAACTAACTTTATCTTTGTCAAGATGCATGGGCACTTTGCTTTACTCATAGATCATTTAATGCAAGTGTGCAAATGACACAATGGGTTAAATCTTACAATAGCTTTGTCAAAAAACATGTCAATAGCACTACATCTCTGTTTGAATTAAGTAAAATTATTGAAAAACTGCTCATTAAAAAGGGTCAGTACTAGTGTTTTAATGAGGTTATAGGTGTGTTGTCAGATATTCATAATGAGGACTACTATAGCAGATATTTTAAATTAGTTGATGAATCATGTTAGAGATTTTTGATAGCAGCATTTCTTAAGATTTAATGCTATGAAATAAACTATAGTATTTATTATTGAGTACAGTTAGCAGATTCAGGTAAACTTGAAAATCAGGCATGTATTATGTTATAAATAAAATAACTTGTTATATTTATTAGATAAAATGAGCTTCTTGATTTTTTTTTTTTTTTTTAGTTGACTGACATTGATGATATATCAACCAGAATGTTTACCAATAATATGTTTGACGCATTTGTAATTGAACTGAAACAACTAATGATTAATATAGATCGTATATGTATCTATAAGATTTGAAAAGTTTTATCAATTGACAAGAAAAGCCATCATTTTGTATTATTATATGAAGAGGCTATGCATCTTTGCACCTGTTTAATGTTGATCAATCGTGGTATTGTCTGCCAGCACTTTTTTGCAGTAATGCTATTATCAAAGGTTACTAGGTTTCATGTCAGGCTTATATCACACAGGTGGTATTTAGACAATTAATTTGTGAAGCAGATATTAATATTACAAGCGAGTCAGCAATTTCAGCAATATCTAGTAATCAGTTTGGATCATTTAAACATAATCTACAAGTTAATTTTACACAACTTGATAGCATTCATGATCATCATGTTTTTACAAATAAAGTTCGTAAAGAGATGTCACATAAGCAGCAATAGAGTGAGGGGTTTGGTATTCTAAAGAAGACCCTTGAATTGGTGATTGCTACAGGAAAATATAAAAAATTATACGAATTACACTTCAAACTCTCGAAAGAAATGAAGATGAAACTGACAAAAACAAATGGTCATAATGTTTTAAATAATAATTCTGTCAAATTTGCAACTACAATTAGCAACCCAGTTGGCATCCATTCAAAGGGTTGAAAACCAAAAAATGCAAGAGCAAAAGCATTTAATGATAATAGTAGGCATAAAAAAAAACTGAAAACAGAATGTACAAGTCGAGTTGATTATATTAAGGTATTGAATATTGATAGAGATCAAAAAGTTGAATTGCAAGATATTTTGAATTTAGGAACTAGCACGAGTTTTACCAACTGTGAGAATATATCTAATAAATTATAACTTTAATATGTGAATGTAAATCAGCCTAATTAATAACTAAATATTATAGCTCAAGAAAATTATAACAATCATGAAAATATTAGTAAATCATCATTATCGGTTACAAGGTGCAATGCTAAAAGCTTAATTAGAATGAGTAAGTTTTGAAGTTTGACAGTAGTATTACTTAATATTATATAATGTATGATCATAATTTTAATATACACAATTGAAATTGGTCTAATCAACAACTAAACATTATAGATTAGGAAGATTATAACAATTACAAAGATGAATTTTCAGTAACAAGTCAGAATGCTGAAAATATTAAAAATTTAATTAGAATGGATAAGTTGTTTGATAGTATGATAATTTTAATACATTCATTTTGAATTGGTCTAACCAATAGCTAAATATTATAGATCAGAAAGGTTATAACAATCACAGTAAATTTTCATTATCAGTAACAAGATGCATTCTGAGAGTTTAACTAGAACAGATAATTTTAAGATTCCTTCTTTTCATATAAGCCTGTATAGTGCTATGTATTATTTAATATTATATACCAATATCGTAGTTGACAAGAATATTACTAACTATGATAATAAGTCTTGCCAGTGTGGTATTTGTGGCCAAGCAGGCCATAATTCTCACATATGCAACTCGGATGAATCAAACAATTATGAAAATATTGATGTTGAGAGTTCAACAAAAACAGGTAAATTTAATATTATCTTATATTTAATATTAACAGGTTTGATATAATATGTACTAATAATTATTAATCTGTGTATTATAGTTGACAAGAACTTTACTAATTATAGAAGTAAGTCTTGCCATTGTGGTTCTTGTGGTCAAACTGGTCACAACACACACATATGCAGCACAAAAAAGTAGTTGTAAGTATAGATTAATAATGTTTTACAAATGTTATGCTTATTATATTCATGCATGATGTTGTAAAATGCTTGTCTTATGAATTTAATAATGTATTTTGAGCCCAATATGAGATAATATATAGTAGATAGTATAATAGCATATGTATAGAATTTAAATGAATGATTTTAGAAATTTGAATTTGAATATATTCTCGAAGGTTCTTTTTATCAAGTTTAACCTTTTTTAATGGTTAGGGTTAAAGTGAATGCTAGTATTGTCCTTTTTTATGTTAGGGTTAATAGGTAAAATAGTTTAAGTTAATGGCATTATTTTTTTTATTATTGCTTTACTCTATACTGATTCATGTTGGGCTTAAGATGTTAATATGTGCTAAGAGTTAGGGATGTTATCAGCTAATTTGGCTCTATTTGTCAGTTATTTTTATAAATTTACAAGCTAGAAGAAGCTGATAACATTTATTTATTAATAAAAATATATTAAGTCATCAAGTGTAGCCCTAAAGTGCTAATGCTTTCTAGCTGCAGCATGTAAAATATACTATCAACTCTGCAATAATATTATAAACTATAAATTTTTACTTTATTGCATAGTTGACAGTGTACTTTAAATGCTACAGCTAAAAGGTATTAGCATTTTGAGAAGCTGTCCTAGTTATCTTGTATTTGTTTATATTAGTTGTAAAAAAATAATATATGAATTATTTATATTCTAAATATGTGGTATTTAGCACCTATGGTGTTTAGCATCTATAGTGTTTAGCACCTATGGTGCATTTTAGTAAACCCATAAATATTTATACATATTTGCATATAATTTTGAATATTTTTATAATCTGTTAATGTTATATTTTATAACTTTTGAGTTTAATAAATAAATAACAAAATATTTTAGTTATTTGTATTTTATTTATTAGTTTTTTAAATATATCAAAATTATTTTTATTAATTATTAATATTATTTTTTTTTTTTTATTTTTTTTTAATGTTAATGATGAGGCCATGCCTCTATCTTTATTGAATATTTAACTGAGATTTTATATAAAGTTAAATCTACTTTTAAAATATTATAGCAAGAATAGAAGCTCAGACTAATTTATCTGCAACTTAAACCAACTGGAGTGGCCAAGGCTCACCTAGATTTGGGTGTTAGTAATAATGTATGAGAGATTAGTTTGATATTT